AGGGTTTAGGGTTTAGGGTTCCTTCACCACTAAACCCTAATTCCCTGAAGCGCTAAACCCTAAACCCCTAAACTCTAAACCCCTAAACCCCCAATCAAACCCCTAAACCCTACACCTTAAATCCTAAACCTAAACCCCTAAACTCTGAACCCTAATTCCCTGAAGCCCTAAACCCTAAACCAGAAAGCTGAATCGGGTTTCGCGTTGTTTCACAATGTCCAGAGGTGCTTCGGGGTTTTGTCAACCTTGCAGGGCAGTGAAAGGATTCGCAGGTCCTTTAAACCCTTAGCATCAAAATAGCCCAAAAGCCTTATATAATAGGGTCTTTGTGCCCAAAAGCCTTAAAATATGAGTCCTTAGAGTCCTAGGGAAAGGGTTCCTTTAAGGGTGTTATAGGGCTTTAGGGGGTTAGGGACCCAGACCTTCCAAAACCCCTCATGTAAGCAATATACCTTAGATCATATTCGGATCCTACTAGAAGGTTTAGGGTTTAGGGTTTACGGTTTACTATAATAACCTAAGACATATTCCTTTATCAATGGACTTTTTGGAAGGTCCGGGGGGTTGAAGGACGCCCAACTAACACTAGTTGACACCGGCAATATCCAGCATCAGCCCAGAAGCTGCGAAGAGGATTTAGGGCGTTGGTGTTCTGGGTTTAGGGGTTTAGGGCTGACCGTGTGCAGTAGGGTCCAGGGTCTTCAAGCTGCTGGGTATCTAGCGTCAACCCTAAACCCTGAACCCTAAACCCTAAGTCCTAAGCCCTAAACCCTAAACCCTAAACCGTTTGAATGTTTCTGGTGCGCGTTGTTTCTTGGTGACCAGGGTAGGATTCGCCTGTGCGGTGTCGGATGATTTTGTCCCGTCGTCTTTCTACAGTAGAAGCCCAAAAGTTGGAAACCCAATAGCCTCAATCCTTTCCTTAAGAGTATAGTGTATAGGGAATCCCAGCATTATTTGTCCTCAATCCGGTTTCCAACTTTTAGGGGTTCACTGGTTCACTATTAATAATCTCATAACTCATAGTGCCTGGGCTCACGCTTGGCTCCACCAGCAAATGCCGAACAGAGCGCGCAGCATGATAAAGACCCATGTGGTTACATGTGTTTGCTATACCCAGGGTCCATATAATGGGTTTAGGGTTTAGGGTTTAGGGTTTAGGGAGGGTTTAGGGTTTAGGGTTTAGGGTTTAGGGGGTCCATACTGTACTTAAACTCTGACTCTACAGCAGCTGCAGAGACCCTCGGCTTCTAAACCCGAAACCTCCAGCGCCGTAGCTGGTACTAGTTGCCCTGAAGGTGTCCTAGCGTTTGGAGCATTTGGAAACCTGCAAACATGCAAAATTAGATCCTAAACCCTAAACCCTAGACCCTAGACCCTAAACCCTAAACTCTACACTTTGTTCAGGTTTACACCCGATCCATCAAGCTCTCAAGCCGCAAACCCCAGACCCCTGAAATCGATACCTTTCAAGCTTAGATCCTAAAAGCCTAAGCTTTGAACCTCAACCCGAAGCCTTAAGCCCTGAAGTCTGCACCCTAAATCCCTAGACCCTAAACCCCAAACTCTGAACCCTAAGCCCTAAACCCTGAAATCTAGACCCTAAATCCCTAGACCCTAAATCCTAAACCCCAAACTCTAAACCCTGAGCGCTAAACCCTGAAGTCCCAATCCCAGAGCTTTGCAGCAAGCCCCGCTCATTTCAACCGGAGTGCCATGGGCACCCCAGAGAAAGCTACCGACTGCGATGTGGTGGTCGGAACTCCCGTCAAGCACCTTCGGAACTGAGAGAGCACGCTTTACACTTTTTTGGGATAATGTAGTTGCGTAAAGAAATGAAGCTGCACACTTTTTGGGGCTTCTGAAGTCAGCAAGCAACTGAAGCTTCCCTGCTTGAACTTTGGTGGGCATTTGGACTTTAAGCCCTAAATCCCTAAATCCTTAAATCCCCAAACCCGACACCCCAAATCCCTAAACCGTAAAACCCTAAA